TGCCATACCAAGAACGAAGTCAACTTAAAACCATACAGCCATACCAAGAAGTAAGCTAATTTTCAAATCATACAGCCAGTCACTCTGGCAAGAAGATTTCAAGCAGTGAGATAAAAAGCCAAAAGGCTGTTTATCCCACCAGGCACCAACTATAACTGAAATATCACTACTACCTTTAAAAAAAAAAGAAAAAAAAAAAAAAGATTTATGCACTTTTAAACCCTGCCAAGGTCAATTCTAAGAAGCAAATCACTTACACCAGGAAACTCTGTAGGCAAAAAGAGGCCAAAGTATAATATCTTTGTCCTTACAAGATTCATATGATCAAAAGCATTCAAAGACCTTCCCCCTTTATTTGCTAAGTCAATATGGAGGGAATAGGCCTACGAGCTTATTATCAGCTCATCCAGTTCAACTGATAGGACTGTAAATATTTTTCTAGGTTATCGCAAGGGTAGTAAATATCTTTGCAGGTGTGATTCAGTTAATTGAAGCATCAGCAGTCTAGTAATTTCTCTATTGTGTATCGGGCAGAAAATCAGCAATAAAAGGCTGATGTGTGAGAAGGAGGGTGCAGGGGATTGTCAAATTTGAAACCAGTGGAAAGCAGGTTCAAGATCAGTGAACATGCAAGTGCCAGAGACATAGGTTTTAATGTCATGTGTGTATTTGAAGTGTGCTTATGTCTAATCCAGACATATAGGCTTATCTCTAGAGGTATAATACAATTCATCACTGATTGCATAATGCTCACAGGAGTGGTCAGGAATGTATTTAACCGAGGACTTGTGAGCTTCAGCTGAACATTCTGATGGCTCTGACATACTGTATAACACTTGGCTGCCTTCCAACTTCAACAAAGTCCTCACACAACTGATCAACAGATTGGCATATCGCTTTTGCTTCTGATTGTGTCATCAGAGCTCCAACTTCAAGAGATTCTATTGTGAATAATCATGATGGAGCCATGAGGTTCCTTGTAAAACTTTGCCCTGAGAAAAGTACTAGCTCTTTTCTGTTGAAACAAAGCAAGCTGACCTTCACATGGCCCTGTTCTTTGCCCAAACCCAGCAGAGGGCTTGAGGGGATTCAGAGGTGGAGGGTTGGTGGACTCTGCAGCACAACTCCTGTCCAGTGTGGGTTCCAAAATCATCTGCAAATCCCAGCCACTTGAGGATACCATGGCATAATTTTCAGTCTGCTATTTTTCTTAGGACTACAGTTATAAATTCTGAGCAACAGCATTTACTTTGAAAATTTCACAAGGACATATAATTCAACTGGTTCAGCTACCCTGCAACTAAACTTGTTATCAGCACTGTTTGTTTCATGGTTTGTCAGGCTACGGATTTCCTCATCTTTTTTGTTCCATAGCTAATCAGGTACCCAGATATTCAACAGGAAAAATGAAAGTCAACAGATTGGCAACAATAAAAAAATATTTTTTATCAAGAATGTATTTGGAATGCAATGGATTTCTATTATAGTAAACAGAAATGTGGAATGCCAATGAATATGCTTTCTTTCCTCTTTCCTTTTCAAACAAACATGGGTGCAGCTGATTAAGGATAACGGAGAGACACGCTGTGCAATGTTTACAATCTGTCAGAAAAAGTATTTTCAGTGTAATGCATTCTATGTTATTCAACATGAAATTGAGATGATAATGCATGGTATTTTGAAAATTTAAAGACCCTCTCAGCAGGCCAAACACAAGAAGCATATTGAAAGATGGAGGTGTGGGAGGCATCATCCAACTGAAGCATCTGCTGTCCCTTATAACCAGTTGTGGGATCTGCTGTGTCTGCAATACTTCACTTGTTGCTACACCATCATCATGAAGCCCAAGTACTGGCCCATCAGGCATTGCCACTATGGGCTTTTAGTCACTTCTGTACACTAGGCCAACCTTTCTCAACCAGGGTGCCTTGAGTTTTCTTCAGGGGTGCTTTGACAAAATGTCTAAAAATTGCCCAAATCTTGTATTCAAGCCAGTGGGTGGAACAAGCCTGCCGTTTAGTTACACAAAGCCACAGGTTTTCACTGTGCACCATTAAGACCTTCTAGCCACCATGTCCTGACAACCATTGACATCATCAGTTGATAAGGAGGATGTCAGCTGCCTGCACAGCATCCTATTTTGACCCTCCCCTACCCCTCTCCATCAGTGCTGGGGTCACATTAGCTCAGTGATGGAGAAAAACTGAGGGAGAAAAGAAACAATGGAACACTAGTCAGTACCAGTATGCAAAAGGGTATTTGCTTTGAAAGAATAAATCACTTCCGGTTCCGGCGCCGCATGTAGCAGGGACGGCATTCCGCGGCTCCGGACGCCCTCTGCATACAACTTCGGCCTCCTGCACCGGAGAGCCTGGCGGATACACACGGGAGTGCCCCGTGACTTCTCCCACCCGATCCCCCATTGATTGATATTTGCGGCTGGCGGCACCTGGCCACGATCCCGCCGCTCAATCCGAGGGATATCTCTCCCTCTTCTGCAGCCAAGATGGCCGCCGGCCACGCTACAGAGGACAGCAGCGGCGGTGACACCACCAGCCCCAGGAGGGACACCTCTGCATCTATGGACACAGCACCAGAGCCAGACCATGGACCAGGTAGGAGGGATGCACAGCCTCCCCACACTCCCCCTGTAGGACATGCTGGTACCTGTAGTTCCATGGATCAGTCAGATTATGAAAAGATTGCACAGGCGGTCGCCTCTCTATTGCTACCTACTATCACTCAGGCAGTAGACAGAGCGGTTACACAGGGCATAGAACAGAACAGACGTGACCTGAGCAAAAACGCCAAACGCATAACGGATGCTGAGCATCGCCTCTCTGATCTAGAAGATGAGATTCAAGCTATGCAGGCAGAAGCCACACAATCTAAACGTGAGCGACAAAGTATATGGGATAAGCTGGAGAACCTTGAAAACCGCTCACGCAGAAACAACCTACGTGTCGTAGGCCTCCCAGAATCCTACAACTCAGGTGCATTGGCTGATATCTGCTGTAAACGCATCCCAGCAGCATTAGGTATTAGGACACCCTGCCAGGTTGAAAGGGCTCATCGCACCTTCCAATGATAGACGCACGCCACGCTCAACAATCGTGAAATATCTCAACTACGCTGACCGTCTGGCGATACTCAATTCATTCCGTAATTCACGCTCCCTACAGCTAGATGGTCATAAATTATTACTTTTTGCTGATTACTCGCAAGAAGTCTCCCGCAAAAGAAAAGCGTTCCAGCAAATTTGCACTACAATATTTCAAAAAGGGGTCAAATTTACCCTAGCATACCCGGCTACTCTGCGCTTTACCACACCAACAGGGGAATCTAAATCGTTTTCACACCCTGAGGAAGCCCTTCTGTACATTCAAAATAATATATCCAATATCACGGGCCTTCAACAATCACAGCATCCACCACGAGAGCCCGACCCGAGAGACCAACGTAGCCCGCGAAAAAAATGACCAACGCGTCAACTTCTCACCGGCAAAACATAGAGCACCTTAAGGGACATTGAGCTCCTCATTGACATACTCACGTATAGCTGTCATTGTATTAGGTTAATTATTTTACTGCTCTATTCTGTTGTATACATTTTTTGCTAGAAACTTCTTGGTCTCTGAGCAGTAAGTCAAACTATGGCTTGGCTCAAGCTGTCTTATCAAATGTACATAATGTAACAACTGTCTTCAATAGTTGATTGAATGCTGAATATAACAAACAACCCACACCTGCGCTGTCCAACTAATAAGGCAAATCCTAAGAAAAAAGTAAACTTATTCTACATCCCCATCCCATCTTGAAAATGATAAAAATGGAGGCCTATCATATTTTTCTAACCTCTGGCTCTATGTGAGTACATAATTTTGTACCTTAGAGATCTTTAAAACACAAAGTATAAAACAGCCTTGGTCAAGAAAGGGTCAGTCATATGCATAAAAAGCTCTGCATGCAAATAAACATAGTGTACATACAATAAACTGGTAAAATTGACAGGCTTTAGGTTTATTATTCTTACCAGACTACTTACATGTATTATTCCTGACATCATAGATACACAGCTAATATAATCATACTTTGGTGTTTTTGTTGTATGAGTTATGTGAAAAACATCTCCAGTACAATACATGCACGGAAAAAAAAAACAAATAAATCAAATGTGTAAGAAATGTGCTTGGGGAAATTCCTTCAATTAATGCCAACATTTAACGTCACACAGAGATTACTAAACAAACACATGAAACATTTTGTTTATAGAATTAATGAGAGTTTAAACAATGCTGGAGTAATAGCCGTTCTGCAGGTGAATGCCCTAAGCCACCCTACACAATATTAAAGATATCTACACACATTCAATGGCAGTCAGATGCATATGCACAACTTTTCAAATACATGTGGCTGATTGGGAACTATTGTTGCCCATTGATCTTATGTGTGTAAGAACATTTACAGAATTATAGCCAAACGCCACATTAAATGTTCCTTTAAATATTTACTGCACAAACAGGTGCACTTGCTGGGTGAGTTGTATTAATTGTATGTAGACTCAGCTATATACAATATACAGCACGGTGTTCCAACAGTGGGATGGAAACTTCCCATCCCATTACCGGAACAAAATGCTCAGCCGAGTTCAAAGGAAGATATTGTTTTGTGAATGAATACAAACCTTCTTTTGATTGGTTGAGGCAAAGAGGTGGATGGATATGGTCACAACTCTGCCAAAGCGAATCAGAGGAAGCTCTGTATTCATAGAATATTTGTTCTGGGAGTGGGTTTGGAAGTTCTAATCCCACTGCTGAATCATATGGCTGTATACTGTATGTAGCCAAACTGGTAAAACACACCCATCAAACACACCTAAGGGGTTAATCCTATGCATTGTGTAAAAAGGCTGTTTGATCCTGTCTTCTCTAATCCTCCCCTTCGTCCACAGTCCCTAATCCATCTGCTGATAGTACAGAGCCCTAGGAAGCACTCTGCACATGCTCAGTTTAGAGTGTATTGCTAGAGAAGTTTTTTTTTTGGTGGTGGTGGTGGTGGTGGTGGGGGGTCAAGGGTGCATTTGAACCGCACAGGGCCGATCAGCACTGTCCAGAGGGTCAGGGGTCATGCAGCCTCATAGGACAGTCCGAGGAGTATGATAACTCCTCCTACAAGCTTTAGCCAGTGCTTGGCCAGACACTGATAGAAGTCACAAGACTCATCAGCAGGTTCACAATACACTGCTGATGAGAAAAGGTATTTAGCAGTTTATATTTAATAAAATAATTGCATTTCCATGTAGCATGTACTGTGGGAGATCAGATATAGAGAATGCAGGGTCCTGGGTTTAGTAACACTTTAATAGTTTGTTTGGGCCAGCTTGGGCTAAACAAACTATTTATAAGGACAAACTTTAAATATAGAGTAAAGCTGGCCATAGATGGATCAAAATTTGACCAGTTTGGTAGGAAAACGGACCAATTTTGATCCATCTATGGCCAGTCCTGTTCGAGCAGTCGAACTACTAATTGACATGTTCACGAAGGGGCCTGCTGAAAAAGCTTTAGTTCGATCACTTCTGCAGCCAATAGGCTGCATCGCTGATCAGTGTATTCGGACAGTGAAGGAGTCCAACGGATTCCTCCACTGTTAGAAAACAATGACACAATAGGAAGGACTCTTGCATCCACTGAAGGCAGACTGAAGGTCTAGTATTGAAGTGGCTGTAAAGCCAGAAGTTTTTTTTTTTCCCCCTTCATGCATTCTACATGAGTGTAGTCCCCCCTCCCCTCCCATACTCACCTGAGCCCGATCCCAGCACTCTGAGCAGCACTCTTATGGACACACAGAGGTGGGCATGCACGCACAGCTTGCTATGGGGCACTCGGCAGGGGAAGAGAAGCAAGGACCAGGGGTTGCTCTGAGCAAAACCAGTGTACAAAGCAGGTAAGTATGACATGTTTGTTATTTTTTTTTTTAATTTTAATTGACCTATAGAATCACTTAAAGCAGGTTGAAAAAAAAAACAAACCACAGATCCCTGCATCCAGACAAGCGACTGCCTGCCCATCATAATACACTGATCAGCGTTCAGCCGCTGGCGTTGTGATGCATTGGGTAAGTATACTAAGTATTATAATGGATTTTGAATTTTTTTTTTTTTTTTTTTTTGCAACACCATGTTTTTTTGGGTTTTTTTTTTTTTACAATATTTTGTCACAAGATGCCGGCAGCTTAGGAATGGGAATTTAGGCAAGAGTGCAAAAGCTTTTGATTTATTATATATCTTCAGAGCTGCAGTTAATATCCTAGTAGGGGCGGAATTTTGTGACATCATCACACCTGTAGGAAGTTTATCCCGATCTACCAAGGCTAAGCCGAAGTGAATGCCAATATTTAGATGAGCTTAAAGGGGACATGTACGCTAATTGTCAAGTCTAAAATCCATATGCACAGGAGTTGGTGCACAATAGTATGTGAGTGTATCTTTTATTTGTAATGAATAAAGTGGTTTTATACAGTTCAGCGCTATGTTGATTATCTAATCTTTTAAGTACAAATGTGTATGGAGATTACCCTATAATCAGCAACAAATTCCCCTAAACCTGGAGGAGCACTGGGGACCCACAGAAAAGCATCTTGCCATTGGATGAACACCCCAAGGGGGAAGGTACATCTAGACCGATTTTAGGTTAAGTTAAGGTGAGCGCATATAGTAGATTGTGGAGGGGCACAAGATGTTTCACAACTAAAGCACAGAAGATTACTTAAGTGTGCACACTCCAACTTACCTTGGCGCTGAATGGACTAATATTAAATAGCAGGATTTATTTCTGACACGAGGGGAGCCACCACCATTGTTATTTAGGGTGTAAGTTATACAGTTAGGTCCATATATATTTGGACACCGACACAATTCTCATACTTTTGGCTCTGTATGCCACCAGAATAAATTAAAACAAATCCATCCAAATGAATCTGAAAGTGCAGACTTTCAGCTTTAATTTAAGGGGTTGAACATAAATATCAAGTACAAATTTTAGAAACTGCAACCATTTTTATACACAGTCCCTCCATTTTCAGGGCTCAAATGTAATTGGACAAATGAAAATAAGTAAAATGTTCATTTTTAAAATTTTGTTGAGAATCCTTTACTGGCAATGACTACCTGATGTCTGGAACCCATGGTCATTACCAAAGACTGGATTTCCTCCTGATGCTTTGCCAGGCTCTAACTGCAGATGTCTTCAGTTGTTCTTTGTTTGTGGGTCTTTTTGCCTATAGTTTTGCCTTCAGCAAGTGAAATGCATGCTCAAATTGGGTTGAGATCAGGGGATTGGCTAAGCCATTGCAGAATATTCTACCTCTTTTCCTTCAAAAGCTCCTGGGTTGGTTTTGCAGTGTGTTTTGGATCACTGTACACCTGTTCTGCGAAGCGCCATCCAATAAACTTTGCTGCATTTGGCTGAATCTGGGCTGACAGCAGCTCTCTAAACACTGCAAAATTCATCCGACTGCTTCTGTCACATCATCAATAAACACCAATGACCCAATGCCACTGGAATCATGCGCATGCCCATGCTATCACGCTGCCTCCACCATGTTTTAAAGATGACGTTGTGTGCTTTGGATCATGAGCTGTTCTAAACCTTTTCCACACTTTTTTCTTCCTGTCATTCTGGTACAGATTAATATTAGTTTCAACCGTCCAAAGAATGCTTTTCCAGAACTGGTTTGGTTTTTTATATATCTTTTTTGGCAAAGTCTAATCTGGCTTTTCTATTCTTCAGGCTTATGAATAGTTTGCACCTTGTGGGGAACCCTCTGTCAAGTCTTCTCTTGATTGTAGACTTTGACAATGATACGCCCACCTCCTGAAGAGTGTTCTTCACTTGTCTGGATGTTGTGAATGGGTTTTTCTTTACCATAGAGAGGATCCTGCGATCATCCACCACTGTTGTCTTCCGTGGACGTCCATGCCTTTTTATGTTGCTGAGCTCACCAATGCGTTCTTCTTTCCTCAAAATGTATGAATGTACCAAACTGTTGATCTGGCCACTGCTAATGTTGCTGCTATCTCTCTGATGGATTTATTTTGTGTTTGAAGCCTTACAATGGCCTATTTCACTTGCATGAACAGCTCCTTTGAACGTATGATGTAGATTCACAGCAATAGATTCCAAATGCAAATACCACACTTAGAATCAACTCTGTGAACTGCAATCTTCAACTCATTCCACAGATTTTCAATGGGGTTTAAGTCTGGGCTCTGACTAGGCCATACGAGAACATTCTCCTTTAACCACTGTGTGGCCATATTTGCTGTGTGCTTTTGGCCATTGTCATGTTGGAAGGTAAACCTTCCCATTGAAATCTTTCTGGCAAAGAGCAGCAGATTTTCCTCAAGACTTACAGTATTTTTCCCCATTTATTTTTTTTTCTATCCTGACAAGTGCTCCAGTCCCTGCTGCAGAGAAACACCCCCATAACAGGATATTACCACCTTCATACTTTACTGTAGGAATGGTGTTAATTGGATGGTGAGCTGTATTGGATTTCCGCCAGACATATCGATAAGTGTTGAGGCAAAATAATTCAATTTTAGTCTCATATAACCAGAACACCTTTTTTCCATGTGGTCTCAGAATCTTCAAGGTGCATTTTGGCAAAGCTCAGTTGTGTCTGCATGTAGCCTTTCTTGAGGAGTGACTTTTTTTCTCCCAACCCTCCCATACCAGCCACATTTGTGATATTGTTGTCATGTGCACCCAATAACCACTCTTTGTCATAAATTGCTGCTGTTTTGTAGTTGCTGTAGGCCTCTTGGTAGCCTCTGTGACCAGTTTCCTCTTGGATATTTCATCCAGTTTGGAGCGACAATTTGATCCAGTGAGGGTCTGTGTTGTACCAAATACCTTTCACTTCTCAATGCTAGACTTCACTGTGCTTCTAGGCATTGATAAAGTCTTTACATTTTTGTTATGTATCCATTTCCTGACTCCGGAGATCTTTTGACAGTGCCTTGCCACCCATAGTTGGTTGTTTGAATCAGATGCACTACCAGGGACAAAAATGCTCCAGGAAAACTCTTTTCATGCTGAGCTAATCAAAATGACCATAGCCGATCACATTTGAAAGCCAAATGGCTTTTATGTGCCATTTAGAAAGTGATTAGCTATGCCTAATTGCGTTTACAAGTCATTTTTAGGAGGGGGGTGATTCTTTTTCCAACTCTGATTCTGTTTTTTAATTTTTTTGACATTTCGAAGTTATATCTTTCACTTGGAGTTCATAAGTTGCAATGAGTAAATACAGCTGGATAAAAAAAAACTGTGTGTCTTCATTTCAGACTGCAAAGCAACAAAATGTGAGTATTTTAAAGTTGGGGGGGGGGTCTGTACCCACTGTATGCAGAGTGTATTATTGGGAACTTTGAACACTTATTTATCTATGGTTGCTTGTGTGTGTATGATATGATTCTATTATAGGTTTCAGTAGGTCACTGTTAATATGCTACGGAGAGGTTTCATGTTCCTCTAGAGTGGATTGTGTATGTTTATACTGAATTTACTCCTAGGTGTGTTTATAATTGCACATTTATTTGTAATAATAGGGGGGGGGGGTCACACCATGGAGATAGTTGGCTAGCGATTCACTCATTTATATTAATTATTAACCTACCTTTACTAAACTTTTCTATGTATTTTAAGTAAAAAAGTAAAATAAAAATTAAAGCATAAGAGGTTCAAAGGATTAAAAAACTATTGGACTTCTAAACAGCACTAAGGGGGTCTATTTATAAATGTTTTCACACAAGGTTTACACAAATTTCACCCAGGAGTCACACATTTATCAAATTGAATCAGATTTTAAAAAAGTGTGAATCTTGGGTGAAAAACATTTTAATTCTTCACACTTCATTTACCGTATAATATAACTTACGTTGAACACTCTCGAACATGACAGAAAAAAGAAAGTCCCGTGGAGTCATGTAATACTCTCCATCATACTCCAGAGAAGCAAATTGCAAGAAACGTAATTTCCGGAGTGACTGCTTTTCTTGCACCTCATCTACAATTTCTTCTTTCTGAAACAAACAAAAAAAAAAAAATTTAGAGCAACAAGCAAAGAGATGAGAAAGTACTCATACATAAATGCATGTATTACACACATACACAGATTTCAATAACCATTGGAAGTTACAGAAGTCTTAAGCAGTCTTTTGAAAATCAGGATTTCTTCAAATGTTGGTAAACCCAGGACCCTGCATTCACTATATCTATCCCACAGCACACAGAACATGTAAATGCAATTATTTTAGTAAATATAAACTGCTGAATACCTTT